CAGCAGCAGTGCCAGCACCTAATGCGCCAGACTACTTCCTCATGGCCTCCACACAGTGGGCCCAGAGGCTCCCTCCCCAGGCCCCAGCAGCACACTGATCTGGCCTGAAAGCAGAGGAAGTGTGGGCTAAGCTCATCTCGGGTTATAGCCTCACCTCCTGTTCCTGCTACGTGAAGAAAGGATTTGATGACTTCGAAGCTGTCTCAAAGCCCCAGAAGGGCCAGCCAACGAAGGTCAGGTGAAATGCGTGAATACCAAAGCGCCCAAACCCACCAAGCTACATTCTGGTCAGGAAAGGCACCAGGACATTTCCTCCCACATGAGGATAAAAGATAAGACTCTGTGGACTCAGCCACAGTAGCCAGTCTAAGATGGATTGTCCTCTCCTGGCTTGCTACTGCTCTGAGTACACAGCTCTCCTCCTAAGACTCTTTATCAACTACACTACTCCTCGTACTTTTTGCACTTAGTAGTTTAACTCCACACGGCGTTATTGTCAAGTTGAGAGAGCTTGCAGTTCAGGGATTTACATGACTTAATCAAGATAACACAACTAGCAAGTAAAGGAGCCAAGATTTGCCCTCCAGCCTGAGTAGCTCAGAGCCCTTGCTTTTTTCTCTGCTTCTCAAGGGCACACCACTGGGAACCTTCCCAGCTTCCTCTGAATGAGCAGGAGAGTGTGTTGGGTGGCGAAGCTAGTACTGAGAGAAGCAGAGAGGAGGCACCAGCCTGTTGATCTTCGAAGTTGGAGGAGTAGTGAGACATTAGCCTCTGGACACTCTGTTGTTGATTCAGAAACATTTTTAAAATTAATAAGCACATGGCAATGCAGGCTGTTCAGGGCAATGTGCCGTCTAAATTGGAATATGCCAAGTTCCCTCCTCCTACTTACCCAGCTCCTTCCCCTCCCCAGGTCCTGGCTGTTACCCATGTCATTCTGGCAGGGAGAGGCTCTCCCTCATTCCCTCAGGCTGGGTGACTATTAGTCTGCAAAGCTCAGCTTGCCAACTGAACAGCTTCCCCAGGCTCTGAGGTCTCTCCTAGGTCTGTGGTGTGTGTGTGTGTGTGCGTGTGTGCGTGTGTGTTTTCCTTCTTTAACTGAGAAGTAGTGAATCCATTGGCTTATCTACTTTCTGAAACATGTGCTAAGAAGACAAATACTCAATTTCACATCTGCTTTCAGGAAGCAGGGCATGAGCAGCAACTCCTGGAGGAAAGACCTATGGATTAGACCAAACTAGGGATTATTCTTTCTGAAGAGACTGCCATCTAAAATTGATCTCATCTTACTTTCTTCCAAGAAGGGCTCTTCTTCTCTTCAGCCTAAAGACAATTCATTCAAATACTCATTCTTTCCACAAGTATAGGGACCAGCAGTTAGCATAATGGCTATATCACTGGACTTCCATGTAGTCGACTGTGGTTCGCATCCTCGACCTGATGGCTTAAAACTCATGCCGGGCACATGTATGTGTGTGCCCAAGATCCCAAGAGGAGAACGGAGGAGAAGGGATTGCAGCGTAGCCATCCCCCTTGGGAGGTGATTTCTCGCTTTCTGTCTGTCTCTCTCTGTCTTTCTGGTGAGCGCACATGCCCTATAACAAAAAAACAAAACAAAACAAAACAAAACCTCTCCAAAAAAAGGGGAAAAAAAAGTATATATTACATCTTTATGAGCCAGAAAACTGTCTCAGATTCTAGGATATGGTGGTAACAAGACAATAAAGCACTCTGCTCTCATGGAGCTTGCCTTCTAGTAGGGGACACCAGATAAGAAATGAGTAGACCAAAGCCAAGAAGTGGCATGGTGTTTAAAGCGCTGGACTCCCACATGGTCAACCATGGTTTGAGTTCCAGACCTGGCACTTGCTTCCTTGTTTTCTCTCTCTCTGTCTCTCTCTGTTGAGTGAACGTGCCCTGTAGCAAATTAAATAACAATAATAAATAGAATTAAATAAATCATTAAAAAAATGAGTAAAGCAATAATCAGTGTCAGGATGAATATCAAATAAGATGACATGATACAGCAAGGGATCAGACTGACAACTATGGCCTATGGGACCAAAGGTGCCCACCACCTGTTTTGTAAACGCAGTTTAAAAGTAAATGAAGAATGCCCCACAGGGGCCTGCTTTGTTATTCTCTCTCTCTTTTTGCACTTTAAAATTAATTTTAATAGATAATATATTTAATTAGTCTATATCTAAAAAATAAAGTAAACGACACAGAGAAGATTAGCATGGCTCCTGTGCAAGGATGACATGCAAATCCGTGAAGCGTTCCATATTTTTTGAAAGTAGTTAGATTATTTAAGAAATTGTGTTATCAATACAATGTGGGTGGGAAAAGAATGGAAGACAATTGTAGATTCCAGAGATAGTGTGAGTAGAGGGTGGGAAAGGACAGACGGTCAGAAATAGGGTAAAAAAAAAAAAACTAGAAACTAGAAATGGAAAATTTGTGATAATAACATGCATGATTAAGCCACTATGCAGTATATTCTGGATGGAAAACCACATTTTGTATGCTGTGATGATGAATGAATGTAAATTAAGTTTAAAAAAGTTCAGAAAAAAAACTAAAACTGTTTTTCTAACGCTGCATTATCCAAACGCTAACGCAAACGCAAATGCAAACACAAACACAAGAACTAACGTAAACACTAACTCAAGCCCTAACGCTAACGCTAAGGCAGACACAAGCGCTAACGCTAAAAACGCAAATTGCAAACCGTAAAGCCTAACGCAACCGCTAACGCTAAGGCTAATGCAAACGAAAAACGCTAACGCAAACGCAAAAGGCTAACGCGAACTCTAAGGCAGACGCAAAGAGCTAACGCT